ATTGAAGATAAAAATCATAGACTCAAACATATACATGCTTAACTATATACATGCAGTTTACATTAAATTAAATCAAATTATTGTTGACCAATATCCGGTAAACAAACAAGTGACTTTACTTTGGAAATTGATCCATAGTGTATGTCTAAAACATCACTATAACTATTTATTATCTTGGACATTCTTGCATACGGCGAATTGGCGCCAAGAACTGTCCTTCTGAGGGGCGGACAAAGTGGTGTGATGGAGACATGCGGAAGCCTAGCAGGTACACGAAACTTGAACAGAGCCAGTAACTGTGGAGTGTCTATTTTCTGGTTGAGAATTTTAAAGCCAAACAACATGTCATTTAGGCTTCTACGTTTTGCAAGCGAAATCATGCCAAAGTGTGAAAGTCTACTATCGTAGGAGCGCTTAGTTTTTGAAATACCATTCGAAAAAGCAAGATGCCACAGAAATCGTTTTTGGATACGTTCAAGGCGTAAGGAGTGGACTGCATAATGGGGTCTCCAGACTACGCTACAGTACTCTAATATGTTACGGATCAAGCTGTTATAAAGTAGAATTTTAGTTTTATTGTTACGAAGAAATTTGCATTGTCTTAAAACAAATCCCAACATTTTTGAAGCCTTTTTACTAGTATTTTCTAAGTGGGGCTTGAAGGTTAATTTATTATCAAATAGGACTCCTAGATCCCGAATCGTATCCACTTCTTTAATTTCGCAAGTAGGTGTACAGTATTTTGAGTTTATATAATTTTGCTTACGTGTAAACTTAATTTGTGGATCACACAAAGTGTCGTCCCATGTGGGGTTTGAACCCACAACACTTGGCGTTGAAGGAAGCGGCGTGGCGACCGCTTAAACCACTACGCCATCCGTGCAGTCAAACTGTAGAAGTCTGCTAGACGGGAGGCGCTGACGTCAGCGAAAGCGTTTTGTACTGCCTCTCGGATGTTGGATTTTTCCCGGTTCAAAAATTGTCTAAATTAAAAAAAAAAATATTTTTTATTTATTTATTTAAAAACAAATTGTAATATAATATGCTTCAATATTTTTATTTAATAAAAGAAAAAAAATTGTTTTCTTATCGGTCACCACGCTCAAAAAGTGTAACTTGAATTAATATCAAAGAAAAAGAAATACTGCATAAATAAAATAAATAAATAATTATAATTGCATAAGTTGATACAAAATGCTATGCAATAGCTTTACCGCGGCAGTCCCCGAGTGCCACACTTACCGCGGCAGTCCCCGAGTGCCACACGTCTGAGTATGATCTGTGATGGAGAGCTACCAGCTGTAATTCTTGTAGCTTTGCGATGGTCTGTCTTAAAATGTGCGCTCGCGGGTTGTCGTTCAGAAGAAAAGGGGAAGAGCGATTGATCAATCGTCGTTGTTGAATTGCGCAGAACCTCGCAATTAAACAACGACGATTGATCAATGTTTGCAATTCTTGGCAATAGAAATCTGCTGTCACTGTTGTGCCATTCGGTAAGAAGCTGTGATGTACAAGTACGGCTCTGGTCCACCAGACAGTCAACATCATCGTCCTAGGGTAATTTTTAAGCTATTCTATCGAGGGCCTTGAGCGCGGGGACCGAATCCAGAAATTCCGTAACGAAAAAATACCTCACGCTAAAAACAAAACAAAAAACAGTACCAAAATCAAATGCTGAACGTCAAAGGAAATTTCGTCAACATAATGCAGAAAAATCTTACATGGATATGTAATTTGATTTAATAATAATATTTTTTATTTATTTATTTAAAAACAAATTGTAATATAATATGCTTCAATATTTTTATTTAATAAAAGAAAAAAAATTGTTTTCTTATCGGTCACCACGCTCAAAAAGTGTAACTTGAATTAATATCAAAGAAAAAGAAATACTGCATAAATAAAATAAATAAATAATTATAATTGCATAAGTTGATACAAAATGCTATGCAATAGCTTTACCGCGGCAGTCCCCGAGTGCCACACGTCTTAGAGCACTGATTAGGTACTGTACCCCGGTCCACCCACTGAGACGGACGCTTGCGGTTGTCGCACAGGATCCACTTTTCATTAGAAAACAATTTTATTCAATTCAGAATTCTCGCATTTCTATGCCGATTCAGTAGTGCTATGCATGCTTCGACGCGTAAGTCTCGTTAATGGTGTCTCGTTCGTGTGGCACCCACTTATTTAGCTTTTTTATCTTGCCAATTTGACGCAAATGCCTTAAACTCCAAAGCCCGGAGCAACCTCAGCCGTAGATTAAGTTCGACCCGCTTTCACTATCGCCTTCAATTCGTCGATTCGTCGTTCCAGATCTGAAACTATTGAACCAATAATGGAACATGTTTATGCAAGCAGTGTTAGGCCCGTACACGTTATTAATATTGTGTGTTATTGCCGCATCGGTATTTCCACGTAGGAACTCATATTAGAAAATTTTACAAAACCAATTGCAATTTTCAGTTTAACCATGGCGCCTAAAACTACCGCAATTTCACAAAAACAAAATACTATCTAAAACAATGATAGGATTTTAAATTAAACTAACTTGGCTTTTGATTAAAATTTATTTGAATTTCGAAGTTCGCGCCAATCCACAGATAATTAAATCTGAAAATGCTGGTTTATTAAATCTCCAACAGCATATAAAAGGACCTATTATTTCGATAAAAAAATACGTAGGTTGGAACTAAGTACTTGAAATCACTTGTCTAAATTAACTAGATAGGTGCCTCACGCGATAGGCGGCAAAGGACGGGTCGAGGTAGCTGACTAGGTAATTTGAACAGACTATACGAGTTTCCTCATAGCAAAAGTTAAGCATCTGAAGATCGCACGTAGTATTAGTTTTTTGGTTGGTTAAAAATGTAGGGGTACAGAATGTAATTCAACAACAATTAAATAACTGGCCTGTTGGTCTAGTGGTGAGTGACCATGAGGTCGTGGGTTCGATTCCCACCCAGGTCAAATAATTGTGTGATGAGCACTTTATCTATAATATGTATGTATTTATAAGTATATAAGTATGTTTAACAGCAGTCTGGTTACCATAGTACGGGTTCTGCCTAGTTTGGCAGTGTGTAAAATGTAAAAAAAAATATATATGTCTACAAACAAATAAATCAAACGTAATATTATTATTACAAAATGCACGCCCCGTATTACAAAATGATACTCAAAACTACAGGAACGCTCAAGGTTAGTTTTCGCCTTATCAAACTACGCTCAAGCGTTTCATAAGTTTTTAGAAACGTTCTGTAATACGTCCTAAGTAATATTTGAATACATAATCACTTTTATGTATCACTAATATTTAAATCAAAACACTATACCTATTGATTGGAAGGAATACATTCCTGTGTCGCGGGGGACTTTACGAACATATATGAAACGGACACAAAGAACACCCAGACTCAGAACAACAATTTGTGGATCACACAAAGTGTTGTTCCATGTGGGGTTTGAACCCACAACACTCGGCGCAGTAGGAAGCGGCGTGGCAACCGCTTAAACCACTACGCCATCCGTGCAGTCTTATATAATTACCGCCCAATTCCACTTGAGCCCGACAGCCTGCCTCCTTACTTTTAAAATGCTTGGTACTCCAGGTGTATACTGGGTATGAATGCGCACTTGTTAACAATCCAAGGCGAAACTTTCGCGATTTGATGAGCGACCAAATTCGACTGTGATGATATACTCATTAACAAATTATACCTCACCCCACACTTCGTGCTATTGGTCATTGTTTTTATTTTAGACTGATTCATTGTATTCGCAAGTCTCACCTCGAGATTAACCTTGTTTGACTACACAGTTACCACAAATAGGAAGTCTGTTAAAAATTATTATTATGTATTGTTAATAGTTTAACAGGTTTTGATAAATAAATAAATTAGAGCTTGATAGAACTATCAAGCGTTTTCTGTATTAGACAAAATACAAGGTACTGAAATTAGTAGCTTAAACAAAAACTAAACCTTCATAAAACTTTATTACTAATTAAATTAAGAATGAAAGCCATAAGGTCGATGTGAATTAGTTTTTAAGTAATAAATCCCTGTCAACTTCCTGTCGACGCTTTCTCCCATGTAGCTGTAGTTATTACACCTGTTGCCTAAATAATCAAACCAATCGTGACAATGGTATGCAGGAAACGCTTCTGGGTATTTGATCGATTCACTAAAATAGTGGAAAGATCGTCCATGGCTGCATGCTTCTGTAAAGACGAAAGTTGCATTATAACAGGGTTTGTCTTTTCTAAACGAAAAATATATATAAATTTTAATAAAGCTTAAACTAAATTAATTCGGAAAATTGTATGTATTGTTTAATTTACGACAATAACAAACATAGGTAGGAGGTATAAATTCTATTACCCCTAATAAAACAAAAACATTTCCATTTAATGTGATCGTTTGCGCATGCGCAAACGTACCACGCGCCTTCCGCGACGTAGGTAATCGGACGTTTTATTTGTTTGTTGCAATAACTATTGCATATTATTTCTAATGATAGTGCAGTTAGTTTCGAGTAGGGTGCAGTTTTTCCACTGTGCAAAAAGAACGAAATTCGAAGTATTTCAAGTGATATAGACGGTGTAGCAGGTAGTATCTTTATTTATTTTTTACTCGTAAACTAAGAGGGTGCTGTTTTAATAATAAATAATTTCGGAAAGTGCTATTTAAGAGACGTCGATTGGTATTTTTTTTATATCTCAAATTTACAGGCTAGGGTGGGGGGCGGGGTCCACTGAGTCTAGCATTTTCGTCAAATTAAGCGCGAAATTTAAAAATGTAAAATTTATTTGCATTTTTATAGCACTTATCGATTGAATAAATAGTTTGTGTCTTTCCAGAGGTTTCTTAGCATTATATAATCTAATTGAGCCACTTTTAAAAATGGATGTAATATCCTAATGTAATATCTATGTATGATGTAATATAGCTATACGAGTATAAGAAATACATAAATAAATACACATTATTAATTTAGCATTACAAACCAAATATCTTTTGTATACTGCCACATCCTGGTTGAGGTGGGAAGCCACTGTTGGGATAAAAATCAACTGTTCCAGTGGGTGCTTCATAACCCAAAACTCCACAACATGTATGAATAACGTCAACAAAGTCGGCGTCCGATGGGTCTAAATTTTCTAAATGTTTAAACGAAGGGTATTCAAATAAGGGTCGGGCTGGATCGAGACCTGTAAGGAAGTCACGTCGATGTCTTTAATTTTTTTGGAACGAACTTCCTTATTGGACGAAATGGCGAGAGGGATATCACGAAAAAATCGTACGTTACGAAAAAGCGTTAGTCACTATTTCTCTCGCTCTACATCGACTGCCTGCAGATCGAGAGAGAGAGAGAGAAAGTAACCCTCTAGAAAGTCTACTTTCGATGACATGACACGGCGCGTATGTTTTTTTTTTAAATTGGATGAGGAATATATCAGCAGTAGTCCACAGCTGGACATAGGCCTGAAAGTTTCTGTATTCTGATAAATAAGACTAGATATAAGACTTACGATACATTTATTGTTTTTCAAAATGCAAAAATGCATCAATTGCAGGGAATATATTCCCTGCCATTGATGCATTTTTGCATTCGCTGGAACCACTCTACAAAGTAGTTGGACCAGTCTTGCTTAGGGACCTCTTCAATGGCTTCATGGAACGCATTCACCGATTCAGAGCTCGTAAAACGTGTGCCTCTAAGTTTGTTTTTAATTTTTGGAAACAAAAAGAAGGCGCAGGAAGCGAGGTCTGGGCTGTAAGGTGGATGCGTCATCAATTCCACATTTGACGCCTTCATATAGCGTTCTGTTACCCTAGCGGAATGTAAGGATTCGTTATCGTGGTGAAGGAGCGGATTTCTTTAAGACTCTGGGCAAGCAAGTGTTGATGTACCAATCTGCGGTCACTTATCCCAATCACGCATCCCAAGGCCCATCGGCTTCGAATAGGGTCCCCGCTATCGGTGGTAATGTTCGTCGCATGAAATGGACTTGTTCAATGAACGAGAACGTCATGCGAGCATATTTTGTGGCTACAGAGAGAGAAACTAATCTCACTGCGTATCGTAATCGTTTACTAACTCTGTTTCAGGCACTTGAACCAACTGTTAACGTTTCGGTACAAAGATTATCGGATCAAGTGCGAGCTATTAAAGGATGTAGTTCGTTGGATAGCTCTGTACTTGTAAGGCTACGCTCCGAGCCTCCGACTTATAGATAAGCTTTACTAGTTTTCCTCCTACACAAGCAGTTACACATCAAGATCTTGAATTACTACAGGTTTCTTCTGCTGAAGAAGAGGAAATTGATGCTTCTTCTGTAAATACCTACTACAATGATATAGGTAATAAGGAATACTTTGGAAGGTGCTTTCCTGGAATATGGGTCTATGAATTTTGTAAACTGACCACATTAACCTCGTTTCCCGATGCATAAGTGAAATAAAGCGCTGGTGTGTGCCCTTGGTTCTATATTACCAACATATTTTGAAAAATGTGAAAACCTCTGTGATACACATTCAATTATGTATTGTGCGGCTATTACTGCACGTCGAGTAGCTGGTGTCAAATTCCCAAAAATTGACATGTCTCCTCGACCTAAGTTTCTGGTGCCGACGTGGCAATATAGGATCGAAGGTCGTATTGCAGAGGCAAGGGCACTCATGTGCAAGCTTATCTGTTTCAGATCAGGCAACACCCGCCCGAAAGTAATGCGCTTTGTGAATCAGGCTTTTAAGGGAACCGGTATCAGGTCCTGTGATTATATGGAACGAGTCACAGAGCGCATTGACTTCCTGAAACAGAATATAAGGGTATAAAATAATATATAAAGGTATAAAAATTGGTGGACCGATATATTCAGAGTCGCACATTTCAAAGGGACGAGAGGTGTGTTTATAGAAAGGAGCAGCCTGCTTAAGTGAGTGGTGGACATTTCCCAGATGTTAAAATAACTAATACATTTTGGCGTAACATATGGTCGGTACCTATCACTTAAACAGCGGGTCATGCGCTCATGAGCGATCATGTGAGTCAATCAATAAAATGGAGCCAGTATCAATTTCAGAAATTGAAATAGCTTGTGCAGTTCCTTCGCTACCGTATTGGGAGTCAGCGGGACCGGACGGACTGCATAAGTTTTGGTTAAAGTGGCTCCTTAGCTCACATGTACGTTTAGCATCTCATTTTCAATCATGCCTATAATCAGGATCACTTACATCTTTAATGACTACGGGAGTAACTCACCTACTCTATAAGTCTGGTAGTGCCACGAATCCCAAAACTTATAGGCCAATAATGTGTCTTCCGACGTTATATAAACTACTAACGTCTTTTCTGAGAGTGAAGATAATATCTCACATTACGAACAACTCTATTATGTCTCACCCTCAGAATGGATGTAGAAGTGGGGCTCCTTATTATTGACACGACTATTAACTAACAAGTTCGCCGTAACGAAAAGATCTAGCGACATGTTGAATATAAAAAGGCTTATGACTCTGTGCCGCATACGTGGCTCTTGAGGGTGATGGAGTTGTACAAGATTGATACAACTCTATGCACTTTTATGGTGACATGTATGCAGCAATGGAAAACGGTTCTTTGCTATCCAGGATGTCGGCAATCTCAAGGCGATGGCGAATTTATAATGATTAAGCGGGTATATTCCGGTATCCGTGTGGTGACGGATTAAGAATACTGACTTTCACCTCCCCTATTCATCCCGTGGGTGTCGTAAGAGCTGACTGAGGGAATAAACAGCGCAGGAGAACAGCACTGCAAAAAGAAGGAAAACTTGAAACAAACCCTATACCAACCCGTCTGGCCAGCGTGGTATAGTAGGCCAAAAGCTTTCTAAGGAGAGGCCTATGTCCAGCAGTGGACTAGTACAGGCTGTTGATGATGATGATGATGATGAAGCGGGTATATTTCAGGGTGACAGTTTAAGCGAGAGCTCGCAGAACTCCTTTTGCGAGGAATGCTTGCGAAAGAGACGGCGGAGCGGGACCGGAAGAGATTAAAAACAAAAAAAACGCACCAGGTACCGCAGGAGACTCAGGAGCCGGAGGTCGCAAAATGACCTCCGTCGTCCATAAGCGCAGGCCTAGGCGCTCTTTAGGTTGTAGAAGGCGAACCCCGAGGTTCCCACACACGAGGGGTCATCTACAAGCCGTAGATGACCCGGGGTCCATCGGATTTCCAGGGATTTCCTTCCTAGGGTACACCTGGTTCCCCGGTTACTGGTACCCGAGACGGAGTGCGGTTTTTGGTCGGTTCATGTCCGACATAACCACCGGTGGGTGGTAACCGAAGGGATTTAAGCACAGACAAAAAAAAAAGGGTGAGAGTTTAAGTCCCTTGTAGTTTTGCTTGGGTTTGAATCCTTTTACCTAGTGGTAAAAGGATTCAAACCCAAGCAAAACTAGTTTAGTCTAGCCCTGAACCCTCCAACATAGTTGTTGGAGGGTTCAGGGCTAGGCTATCGTTTGCAGAGAGGTGGTAAGAATATCCTATCTCATTTACATGGATTATTTAAAACTGTTTGCTTCCAGTAATTCCATACTGATAAATTTACTAGAAATAACTAAAACCTTTAGTGAATGTAGTAGGATGGAATTTGGTGTAGATAAGTGTGCAGTCATGCATGTAAAAAGAGGCAGGGTTGTGGAATCTGATAGGTTGGAACTCTCAGATTCCACGCACTTACGGTGTCTCTCATCTAACGAAACTTACAAATATCTGGGTATGTAACAGGCGTTAGGTGTGAATGAGTTGACTATGAAACAATCGTTACAGGAACGCTTCTTTAGTCGCCTGAAAAAAGTACTAATTAGTCTTTTGTCAGGTGGTAACAAGGTGAGAGCCTACAATGATCGGGTCATACCAGTTCTAACCTACTCTTTTGGTATACTTAGATGGACTCAGACTGAACTAGATTCCCTGGATAGAAGAGTTCGTACATTGCTTACTGCATACCGAATGCATAATCCACATTCAACAGTAAGGAACCCCGAAAATGTGGTGGACGTGGGTTTTTTAAATGCCAAGACCCTCCACAATCGTGAGATATGTAACCTCAGGAATTACTTCCTTTTTGTTAATGTGGATAAGCATAGGAATGTAGTAAAAGTTGATAACGGACTCACTCCACTTTTTCTAGGTAAAGAGAACTGGCCAAAATTTGCAGTACTCAATATTACTGATCGTATGGAGATATGGAAGGACAAAGAGCTGCATGGACGTTTTTATCGGGCCTTGAACAGGTTTACCTCAGACCAGACCAACTGGCGTCTGTATTCTGGCTACGATTCGGTGATCTCTTTGGAGAAACTGAAGGTTTTGTCTTTGCAATTACTGATGAAGTTATTATGACGAATAATGATTGGTAGTATATCCTGAAGGACGGCGCAATAGATATTTTCGGGCATTTCATTGCCCCGGTGAAAGCATCAGACATATAATTTTCGGTTGTTCTCGTCTTGCCAACGGCGAGTACTTGCATAGACATAACCTTCCGAAGAACATGAGACAGTGTTGTACTGATGAACAATTCTAGCAAGTGGTGAGTATTTTTCCTTTGTTCGGCATCGTGGTGAATGCAGTATTGGACGGGGGTAGTGGGGGACTCTGAGAGGAACGTTAATACTTATTTTACTAAGTAGATCCGGACAATCTATGGCATTATTTAGAAACTTATGTAGAAACATCAGATCAGAGATGGTTTGGCATGATTTCAGATCCCTAATTTTAAAATAACTTAGTCTATCCTCGCAAGTCCTAATTGAACCACGAACCTAGAACTGAACCAAGAACTGCAGGTCCTACCTGCAATTCCTCAGATTAAAGCGAAAATCAAGATGACGAAGACGTTTCTTTGTTAAATTATAATTATGTGATAATAAATAGTAATATAATTATTTATGCTTCCTAAAAAGAAAACATTTTATTTACATTTATCAGTATGTTAAACATTTATAGACCTTAATACGCGAACTTAAACAAATAATTCAATTCCTAAAGAAATTATTGTAGAATTTATATTAAGAATATTTTACCTGCATATATCGTTTAGTTTTTTACGCAGGCGTTCATGGACGGGGTAGTCGCTTTCTATCAGCTGACCCTTCTGCTCGTTTGACCCCTATTCCATAAAAAAAAATGTTAACTACCTTTTACTGACTATCAAACAGTGTTAGGAATAAGGGTATTACATAGTTGACGACTATGTAAATATAAAAAAAGGAAAGTACTCTGTTTGTTACTTACTTCTTAATAACTTATTTCTACATTAATATAAATCTAATAATTGTTACGTGAAGGAACTATTTGTTCAGTATTAGCTTAGCTTTTTTATTATTATTTAGTAGATTTTTTTTTCATTTTTAATAATGATAATAATAATATTTCGGACATCTGACGTTCGACACCATCTAGTTTCAAACTAAGTAGAGCTTGACTGATAGAATACTTTAATACTTTTTGTAAATACATACATATTATACATGTAAACACCGAAACAAATATTATTATTATTATAATAGGTACTATTCATTTATAAGTATCTTTACTGTTAAAATATTTAAAAAAATTGTATATGGTTTTCATTGCTACTTGTAATCCATTTTATTGTAATGTATATAAAAAAATATCGGCACCTTCGAAAAATTTAGTCAATCCCTAGCATTGCTAACAGGGATTTTTATGCATCGAAGGAGATTGTAGTGGTGCCACATAATACAAGCGAAATTTATAAAGCTTTAGTGTAGAAAATGAATAACACTATCATCAAAAAGACTGACCCTATAATTGGAAACGTGTTTTAGTTTCTGCACTGGAAAGCTTTGATTCAACGACGTGTCAAAAAAGATCAGATATTAGTTCCATTCTCACTCAGGGCAAAAACAACAAAGTGGATTTAGTCTCCGGAAGTAGGCTTAGTAGGCTTGGCTACTCACCTGTGATCCTGTCCACAGTGAAATTTGATCTGGATGCTGCTATACCCATAATATGAGCTCCGAGGCTATGGCCAATAAGATGAAATTGTTTACCAGTAATGTTATATCTCTTATGAAGAGCGCTTATAAATTGAGCCACTTTAGCACCTATGCCCTTCGCTTGATAGGCAACCCAGGGATATATTGAGTCTGCGACCTCACTCCAGTCGATGGTTATAACTTTGACGTTTTTGGTTTCCAAATAAGCAGTTTTAATGTCTTCGACGCCTTCTTTATCTGCTGACGACTTCCAACCATGCGTAATAATTTTTAATGGTTTATGAGATGACATTATCATCATCGTAGTGTCTTGATATATTTTTTCGTAAGGTTGTCCGATTTCATTCAATTCAATATAACTATACGTGTCGTTTCTACATGCAAAAGTTGAAAATTTAGGTCAGTAACAAGGAAGGTATCTTATTTTTATACAACTTTAAACTTTATTTCATAGGCCCTATAAGACAATCATAACCTTATTGTAAAAACTCGTAGAGGAGTTAGGACTTTGGAGATAAAGCATCAGAGTGAGTCTGAAAACTGATAAAGGAGTCTTAACGGCCAGTCTGCTACTACTCAAGAGAAGTCAATCTATACAGATAATATAAAGCTCTAGAGTAGGTAAATCTGGGTAAATCTCTCTCCTCTCTCTTCCTCTTTCTCTCTCTTCCTCTCTCTCTCTCCTTCTATATCTTATATATTTCCCAATTAACAGCATCATGCATTTTTAAGAAAATGTCATGAACACAAGAACGGAATCTAAGTGCAAAAAAAAGTTAAACAATATGTCTTACAATACTTAATAAAACTGTCACATATTGAGCTATAGGAGTCCAGTATACTTATTTATAAGTTGGTACGGTTGGTTCGTAACCTGTTATAGGATGGAACAATAACAGGTAAATTTAAACTTGCCAATGATATTAACCTAAAATTTATTTGGAATGGAAAAATTTCCCGGGCGAAAAGCTGCGTGGGGCGGCGCAAGCCGCACCTTTTATTTTACGGCCCCTCTGGCCGTTATGTCACCCCACCTTGGTTTGCAGCGGGGCGGAGTGTCGGAATCGAACCCACTAAAACCACACGATGTGCGCCTGAAATAGGAGGGATCCGGGAACAGCTGTTGTTAAGACATCCGGCATGCGTATGTCGGCTTTTAGTTTTATGAATAAACTAGCCTTTGCCAGCGGCTCCGCCCGCGTGTATGTCGGTTATCGCGGTAAAAGTAGCCTTGAATAGCTTTAGTAGCTATGAATTTTTAAAATCGGTTATGTGGTTAAGGCGTGAAAGCGTAACAAATAAACTAACAAACCAACAAATTTTGACATTTAAAATTTAAGCATTTATGTTTTGCTCATTTTTCTTTAATTTATGGGGTGGCAAACCCTACAGGCCCTTGGCGCTGAATCTTTAAATACGCCACTGGTCATATCGTAGTAAATAATTTCATACTTATTTACATAAGAGAGTATTAAGGTATAAAGAAGGTACAAAGCCTGGTTGTTTAGGGTTTATACCGTAAGCTATAGTCAAAAATTTCAAAGAACGAAACTTACTCAAAAGAAGACTTACCCAATGTATAATCTAAATTCGATTAAACCATCAATTGGTCTTCGCATATCAAACTTGATACCATTTTCAGGCGTCCTCAAATTAACATAATGAGGAAAACCATCACCGTTCGGAAAATAGATCCATTTCGTACCATAATCATTGCCGTATAAATTCGTGTGGTTTAAATTATCGTATGGAAGACCTAGAAAAAGTAAAGTAATCAATCACAGGTTGTATTGTATTATTTTTTGACACCTAAAGCATAGCATTAGTGACTTCTGAGTTGCAGGTGTCCATGGGCAGTGGTAGTTGCTTACCATCAGGGGACCCGTCTGCTCGTTTGCCCCCTTATACCATAAAAAAAAGAAGAAATAGAACAGATAAAGTTACCAATATCCAAGGTTCTAAATTAAAACAATCAGCATCAATCAGATTTTACCACAAAGTGTTGATTTAAGATTTAGCGTATGATAAATCCTAAATCTATACTAATATTATAAAGCTGAAGAGTTTGTTTGTTTGGTTGTTTGTTTGTTTGTTTGAACGCGATAATCTCAGGAACTACTGGTCCGATTTGAAAAATTATTTCAGTGTTAGATAGCCCATTTATCGAGGAAGGCTATAGGCTATATATCATCACGCTAAGACCAATAGGAGCGGAGCACCAATGAAGAATGTTTCAAAAACGGAGAAAATTTATTACAATTGAGAGACGCAGACGAAGTTGCGCAGGTCAGCTAGTTAAATCTAAACTTCAAATAAGTAAATGCTACTGTGTACAATACTGTACTCACCGAACCTTGCCCCAATAGATTTTTACGTTTTTCAAAATTTACAAATAAATACATATAAGTGCGAAACAATTCAACACCTGAGAGGCAGTACAAAACGCTTTCGCTGACTACATCGCCTCCAATGCAGCAGACTTCTACAGTAAAGGGATAAAGAAAGTGACATCAAAATAGCTAAATTACATAAATAATTTGGGCCCGTACTTTGATTAGCTCAAATAAAAAAATAACAAAAATAATAATACTTGAATTAATTGTGGAAGTAGTTACTCAATTCCAACAATGACAAGGGGCGGAATCTGTTGGGGCAAGGTGAGTACGGTGGGTAACGGATAGCTTCCAGCTGTAACTCTTGTAGCTTTGCGATGGTCTGTCGTGAAGTGTGAGCTCGCCCGTTGGCGTGGAGCAATTCGCAAGAGCAATTGATCAGTCGTGTTTGTTGAATTGCGAGCTTCTCCGTCATTGCTTGCAGGTCTTGGCAATAGACATCCACCGTCCCTATTGTGCCATTCGGTAAGAACCGTCACTGTAGTCCACCAGACAGGCACCATTATCTTCTTATGGGTAATCTTTTTTAGCGCACTGTTTAGGTGCTGTACCCGGGTCACAGATAGTAATCTGATTATTGGGGGGTACCAGCCGTCGTCATCCCTGCGGTAAGACCCGTTATGGAGGATTGGCTCGAGAGGCATCACGGGACCCTCTCATACCGACTGACGCAGGTGATCACTGGGAAAGGATCGGGGAGAAGTTTCGGGGATTACCTGTGTCCGCAAGGAGCCAACGCCTGAGTGCCACCACTGCGATGGTCGAACCGTGGACACGCTGCGATGGTCGAACCGTGGACACGGTGCTCCACACGCTGGCTCCCAGCGTGGGTGGAGCAGAGGCGAGACCTCGTGGCGGCCATCGCAGTGGGAGTTCTCTAGCTCGATAACCTGATTGCGGCTATCGTGCTGAGTGAGAGTGCGTGAACTCTGCTGTCTCTCAAGGAAATGGCGGAGCGGGACCGGGAGAGGTTTAGAACTCTCCCAGCCAGACTCGGGAACGGGCCAGGTACCGCAGACGACACAGGCGCCGGAGGTCGCAGAACGACCTCCGGCGCCTGAGTCCTCGATAATCCTCCATAATCGCAGGCCTGGGGGTGACAGGTGAGGCCATCTGTCACCCTAGCAGGAGCAGGCCGGGGTGGCGGCGAGCGCGTTGCGAAGCGCGCGCGTCCTTCCGGGAGCACAGAGGGAACATGGGGGTTTCCACACAGGGAGGGTCGTCTACCCGCTGTAGATGGCCCGATGTACGTCGGGACACCAAGGATTTCCTTTCTAGGGTACACCTGGTTCCCCGACTACTGGTACCTGAGACGGCGTGCGGTTTTAGTCGATTCGAGTCCGACATAGCCACCGGTAAGTGGCAACACATACTTGCTGTAGCTAGCAAGCTATGTGACGCTAAGAATCACGACACTGGTAACGACCCGTTAAGCACCCGTTGATGTGTTTTTGAAATGTCCCTTTCACTCATTATGTAAATTACAATACTTGTCTTTGTCTAACGTACCGATAGTATTGTGATTTATGAGTCGATATTTAATATCGACTTAAATATAATTAAATACATTGTTGGTCATCCTTTGATTTTTTAAATTGAAGTTATTGCTTCGTAGATGTAGTGGCGTATCATTGTGGTATATGTTATTGGTTCCCTAAATGCCCCAAATGAAAAAGATGTGGATCGACGCAACTTGTCGAGGGGACGATTGATTTTCTTCCAAAAACACTCAATACTCAATATATTTATTGCATTCCACAATGTTTAGTTAGATTGTACTCAAATATCAGATCAGATCATCATGGACCCTGTCGGGCACAGCAATAGATGAGAGAGGAAGGGATACCTAATACAAACTAACAATAATAATCATACTTCAGTTTTTTATGTACGAGTACATGCTTAATTTATTGATTGCTCAGATATTCATTGATGCTGTAATAGCATTTTTGTAGTAATAATTGTTTTAATTTATTTAAATATATATTTAATATGGTTTCATTTTTAATTTATTCGGGTAATTTATTGTAAATTTTGATAGACATTACTTGAGTGCTATTTGAATGAATTTGGAGTTGGGATGAGGGTAGGTTTAGTCTAGTCCTATGGCGTAGTGTGTAGTTTTTTTGTTTATCCTCTCTTTTTGTAAACAAATGTTGATTTTTTCTTACGAATTTACATATTTCCAAAATATATATTCATGGCAGTGGTAGAATGTTGTGTTCTCTAAAGTATGGTTTACAGCTATCGCTGTCCTCTATATTGACCAGAATTCTAATTAGTTTCTTTTGAAGTGTGAAGAGTGTTGGAGCATCTGTGCTGTTACCCCATAATATGATGCCGTAACTAAACCAGGCATAAGCATATGCGTAATAAGTAGTGAGAGCTGTTTGAAGGTCGGTGGTCTTTTTAACTTCGCGGATATGTGAACTTAGAGATTTTAGATCTTAATTTCGTTATGTGAGATTTCCAATTGATGTGTCTGCCAATTGACAGGCCTAATAGGGTAAATTCGGGGACAACTTCTATTTTTGAACTATTATATGTAAAGTTTATATCTAATGGGGATTTTTGTTAAGGGTGGAAGGACATAATTTTAGTTTTGGAACAATTTATTTCGAGGTTATGGTTTTTCATCCAATTTACTGTTTTGTCTAATGTTTTGGTTAAGTTTTTGTTTAAATTAATGATATTCTGGCACGAGGTGAGGAGCGAGATGTCGTCTGCAAGCAATACGCAAGGTCCATCTATGTTTTTTGGGAGATCATTGACATATATCAGAAAAAGTAGGCAACCGATTACACTACCTTGGGGTATTGAAGCATTAATATTTTTTTTGCTTGAACGGATGTTTTGAATTTCAGATGTATTATAATTGAAGAATTCTATTTCTACTTGGTGTTCTCTATCTCTCAGGTATGATATAAACCAGTCGCGGGCCCTACCACGGATCCCTATCGCGTGTAGTTTTTGTGAGAGCATTTTGTATTGCACTTTATCATAGGCTTTGGTCATGTCTAACAGGACGCCGATTGCATAGTTTTTATTATTAATTATGTTAAGGGCTTCCTGGGTAAATTTATAGGTTGCTAGGACCGTAGATCGACCTTTTCGAAAACCGTTTTGGCAGTCATCAAATATTTTATACTTTTCACAAAATCCGTAAACACGGTCACACATGGCCTTTTCAAATATCTTCGAGGCAGTACATAGTAAAGCTATAGGGCGGTAGTTCCTAACATCGGTTTTTGTACTTTTTTGTTGATCGGTTTTATCAAAGCTTTCTTTAAGTAATCCGGATAAACGCCCTCCTCAAAAGACTGATTAACCAATAGGCAGAATGGCAGAGTCAGCTCGTCTGCGCATTGTTTTATTAAGGTTGGGGGTAGTTCATCTATACCGTGGCTCTTTTTATTTTTTAAGTTCTTAATTATTTTATTAATTTCGTAAGGATCGATGGGGGTGAGAAAAATGGTGTTTTGGGTGGGGCGCAGCACGGAGATACCTTGAATTTCTTGTTCTGTTGTTTGGATGTTCTCATCTCCGATAGAAGCAAAAAAAATATTAAAAAAATTTGTTATGACTGTGTGGTCTATATATTCTTTTGTTGACATACCAAGAAATTTGTTTAGTTTGTTCGGGCAGAGCTATGTGCACATTAGTGGCACAGTGGTCTGAGAAACCTAGCTCTTCAACGGTTGTATATATTTTATTATGAGCGAAGTTTGTAAATATTAGATCAATGCATGATGATGAAATTCCAGTAACGCGCGTGGGATCTTTCACGTGTTGCTTAAATTTATATTGCAACAAAAGGTCCAAGAACTCATTTGTTTTTAAATTGTTTTCAAATATATTAATGTTGAAATCTCCTCCAATTATTATATTATTTTTAGAATCTTTAATGTTATTATATTTTAAATTTTGTTTTAGTTGTTTGTAAAAACTGTCCCGCTCCCTTCCATTCCAATAAAATTAAATAACAATAATCAACAAATTTTCAATAACTTATTCTATGGCACACACTTCTATGATATATTCGATAGACATACTCGCAATATCAGTTCTCTCTATACTCTCGATATGGTTTTGTAGAAGGATGCAGACACCCCCACCAGATGGTTTTTGTCGGCAGTATAGTTCGTTTAGTATCGTTTTTGTCGGTAGTAAATAGTGTGATATGCTCAAGACAGTCTATTATGAAATTATGAATCAGAATATTATGAAAAACCGTAGAAGGCTGTTGGAAGACAAGGAAGACAGATCCTAAGGATATGTGAAAAGTATTCATCTCATCAATCTGAAATCTGTGAAATATATATAAAAAATCAAATGTAGAAATCTGTGCCTCCTGTGATGAATGATTAAGGTCAAGTTGAACCCTTTACGTGATTTTTACATGGACATATTCAGAAAAAAATATGTTTTTTGTATAACCTACGTTCTTTTACTATATACTATTGGTTTGATTATTCAGTATATTTAAATTGATATAATTAGAGTTATATCACTTTGAACAGCTTTAAATCTGAAACCCGAATCAATATTTTTGAAATAAAAAAGACCAAGACTTTAGCAAACTGATACTATTCAGCCAAGTTATGAAAACAGGCAATAGATATGTAAAAAAATTCATCTTTGGGGGTAGTATTTTATCATTTCTTTTAGCAACGTTGCGCTACTAACATATTCTAATGAGTTATTAGATATTTGTACTTCATCATCAGCCTACTGTCATCCACTGCTGAACGAAGGATTTATACTAAATGTATATCAATTTAAACGTTGACAGCTTATAGGTGCAACATAATTTAACTACACTTGTTTTATGACGTAATTTTAGCACGTATTAGAAATAAAAAAGTACAACTCACAGGCATTTATGAATTATTTTAAAACTAATATTTACCACAAAAATTTAAGTGTACAGTGAAAGTGAATGTTTTTATTTACAAAAGAAGATACTCAAATCTTACTCAAACTATTTTTTTAAATCTTGTTTTTGTTCTCCTGTGTTGTGTTGATTTTTACTTGTATCACTTTACACAGGAGGCACAGAAATGAAGAATATTTTTTAATACATATTAAATAAACATTGATCAATATAATTATTTATCAATAATCAATAAATTAAAAATAAAATAAATATCAATTATTCAGAATTCAGATCATCAAACTATTTTATCGATCAAAGTCCCAACCCTGTCTCCTCACAATGTTTCGGTGCCTTCTAAGTTTGACCTTAAAATATCAAATCACAGCGCATGTGACACGACCCCCGCAACCCTTGCATACCGCCAATTTTGGTGACCTCGAATCGGAATAAATATTCAATAATTCGGAATCAATTAGGGGGTAACCTGTGACCCGGGTCCACCCACTGAGACGAACGCTTAAGGTTGTCGTAAAGGATCCACTTTTCATCGCAGGTAACAATTCGATTTAGAATTCTATCGTTTCTATGCCGATTCAGTAGAGCTATGCATGCTTCGACGCGTAAGTCTCGCTTATGGTCGCTTAATCCGTGTGGCACCCACCTATCTGCTTCAATGTTGTTTTGATACTAACTTCAAAGCACGCTTAGCCGTAGATTGAGTTGGATCCGCTTCCACTATCGCTAATAAAATCGAATAAAATTTATTTAAATATCGAATTGCTTGCTAATCCACAGATAGTTAAATCTTAACATGCTCGTTTTATAAATCTCCAACTTATAGGTAAAAACCTTAATAGGTTTAGAATATATATATATATCTATACTAATATTATAAAGCTGAAGAGTTTGTTTGTTTGTTTGTTTGTTTGAACGCGCTAATCTCAGGAACTACTGGTCCGATTTGAAAAATTCTTTCAGTGTTAGATGGCCCATTTATCGAGGAAGGCTATAGGCTATATATCATCACGCTAAGACCAATAGGAGCGGAGCACCATTGAAGAATGTTTCAAAAACGGAGAAAATTTATTACTAATGAGAGACGCAGACGAAGTTGCGCGGGTCAGCTAGTATATATATATATATATATACATTATTATATATATATATATATATATATATACATTCTAAACCTATGCCATTTGTTTATTACCTAAGAATATCAGCGTTTAATCTGATTATAATAATAATGGTGAGTGCGATGGCTATGACGGCTGGTGCTATGAAATTAAGATGTAAATTAAGTTGGATATCCGATTAAATTTAAAGATTCTATTTCATGAAAAGATGTTTGAAAGCTCTGTATTTGCTAGGGCAAAGAGACCGGTTTCGCAGTTCCAAAAGGCGTAATAATCCTATGAAATCCATTCCGAATCGTTCAGACGTTTAATTTAAGCGATTTGTTTCTTTTTTAAATAAATTAAATTTAAAGTTGCCTAGAATTCTATTGTACTCCTCGGCTTATTCTGAAAATATATGACCTTCTTTACATTTTTTATGATTTCATAGATCTTTCCTCATACAGAACACTAGCTGGATCGAGCTCTTTCCACTTAGACTGGTTGAATTGGAGGAAATTTAAATAATTAGGTAATAGTAATCTTATCAGTTATTTATTGGTATTACTAAATCGACAAACAAGCACACGGTCATTCTAATTGTTAACTGTATCACTGTCATCAACAAATGCCACATATAAGTACTCGTGCTATACTGTTATTGATTATAAAAATTATATAATAAATAAGTATGGTGCATAAATGAAATAATATAAAAAATATTTGAAGGATGTGTTCTAATTTTTTCATTTTTTCTAAATTTTTGGACTCATGGCTCTCCGTATTGACACACACTTAAGTGGAATTTTAAGAATGAATAAGTAATAGGAAACTTACTCCTGCTAAAATCTGTAAGACATATTATCAAACACAACACATTAATATTGTTCAAAAACATTTTCTCGTAATACTTTTAAAAATAACATTTCAACTTTAACACTTTTTTTATTCTCTTTAAGTAACTGATTATTTATACGTTACAACGACATAAACATACTTAATAAATTGCTACCAATTTGATAGAAGACTGTAAAGTGGTCCATAAAATTCACGATAAATATTATCAATTAGTTTGCCAAGTACGAACGTATACCAATCATCAAAAGTGTTCTATGGCTATGCAAATATTTAATCACCTAAGACGACTTCCACAATTTCACATAAATATGTGTAGGATATTAGGTTTCCTTAAAAAACATATGCCATTTGTTTATTACCTAAGAATATCAGCGTTTAATCTGATTATAATAATAATGGTGAGTGCGATGGCTATGACGGCTGGTGCTATGAAATTAAGATGTAAATTAAGTTGGATATCCGATTAAATTTAAAGATTCTATTTCATCAAAAGATGTTTGAAAGCTCTGTATTTGCTAGGGCAAAGAGACCGGTTTCGCAGTTCCAAAAGGCGTGGGAGCTCCTTGGATTATTTTTATTGTTATACATAAATAGTAAACGTAATTATTATGATAATTAAATAGATTGAATAAAAACTTTTAAAAAGTGTACCTATCATACTTAGCTACTCAATAAGCCAACTCGAACTTCGCTTCGACTTGCCACTGACTTATTTATGGATTCCAATAGGTAAATAATGTTTAGAAAGGGTTGAAGAATGACACTTAACATGTTGGTAAATACAAGTAGGTGAACGCACTGAGGGGTGCGTGGTCCGGAACCTACATGTGGTGCACCCTGGGCAACGGAGACGGTAGCGTCTCTCTCCCTAGGTGGGAGGGCGCTGCCGCCTGCGGCCAATTCCGGCCGAGGTGGGAAAGGCCCGCCAAGGGCTGTTCGGAGGGCTGCTTTCCGCGTGTCCCTCTGTTTGACAGAGGGCATAGGGGAGAGCGAGCTGGGGGCGGACGGGTCCACTGCCGCTGGCTCTGTGCAGAGGTGGGGGACACTGGTCTGACGCAGGCCACCGTCCGGCCATGTCGCAACCCTGAGTGGCAACAGCCAGGAATGACGGCTCTTCGAGGGCTACGAGGAAGGCAACCTCTATAAAAAATCCTGGGGCGGACGGACCCGGTCTGGTGCAGACCCCGTCCGGCCCAGTCGTAATCCTGAATGGACAGCACCGGTGGAGCTTCGGATCCGCGAGGACGTAAACCTCTATAAAAATGCTCTAAGCCCACGTTCTGACGCCTGGCAAGGGGCTGAGTCGCTGAGGCAGTGCCGAAAGCGTCCCCGTCGAAGAACGTTAAACTAAACACATGACATGAGGCCAATAGAGAAATCACCCAGGAGGGTACCGGGCACACAGTGTCTGGGGAATCCCTCCCGGAGCTACACTGCTCCGGCAGCTCCCAGTCGTATGCTGGGAAGAGCACCGAATGTCGAACCTGCCCGTCGCCGAGCAGTAAATCCGGCGACGTTATCGCGGAGGACGCGAAAAACCGGGAGGTAGTGTCGAACACCGACACTGCCTCGGAGATGAGCGGAGCGAGTACCCCTATGGTCTCAACTGCGGAGCAGCACCAGAAGGGTAGTCCAAAGCGCAAAAGGCGCTCGCTTCGCCTGGGCCGGAAGAGGCAATTGGAGTCGGCCTCGAGCGATGAAGCCACGGCTCCCAAAGTCGGCACAAGCCTCAGAGGCGCTCGCGGCGGATGCCGACTCCCCAAAAGACAGAAAAAAGGCTACCCTGTAGCCCAAAAGAAGGTGACGGTCATATCCGCGGCACCAAAAAGAGCCGAGGATGAGGGTCAGAGACAGGAGAGGGTCGCGTCCGAGAGGTCGACCACTGATGATGTGAGGAGTGAGGGTGGGGGTGCTGACCTCGATGAGGTGCGAGGCAAAACCGGCAACCCCTTCGACCGGATTGAGGAGGCAATCGGCGCGGCCGATTGCTTGCTTCAGACGTACGGAGTGGCCGGGGACCCCCAACAGGAGGCCCTGGTAGCGGTCGTGCGCTCCATAATCGAGGCGGGCAGACTCCTCGTGGCCGAGAGCAAGGCCCACGTTAGGGAGAGAGCCCGCCTCGAGGCGGATCTCGCCAAGGCTCGTGCCCACGCTGGTGCCACACCAGCGTCTTCGGCACCGTTGGCGCTGTCTGACAGCCCAAGAGCGAGGCCCGCCGCGAGATGCTGGAGACACTGGAGCGGGATCCGTGGGGACGCCCCTACAGTATGGTTAGGGGCAAGATGCGCCCATGGGCCCCGCCGCTCATCCGGTGTCTTCAGCCAGAGCTGCTTGAGAGGGTCGTTGGCTCCCTGTTCCCAACGCGAGTGGTGGAGCATACTCCGCCATAGATGGCTCCGCCTCCGGCGCTTGAAGCGCCTAACGTGGATAACGAGGACGTGCCTGAGGTCACTGGGTGGCACTAAGGGTGGCGGTGTTATGGCTTAAAGCTAAAAACACCGCCCCGGGACCCGATGGCATTCCTGGCCGAGCGTAGGTCCTGGCCTTAGTCGACGAGGCTCTCGAGCCCCGACTGCGAGGGTTCTTCAGCGCATGCTTTGAGCGGGGCCAGTTTCCGAAATTGTGGAAGACGGGGAAACTGGTCCTCATCCGAAAGGAGGGGCGCCCGGCGGACTCACCGTCCGCCTACCGGCCCATAGTGTTGCTTGACGAGGTGTGCAAGCTCTTTAAAAGAGTGATTGCAAGGCGCCACGTCAAGCATCTCGTGATGGTGGGGCCGGATCTGGCGAACAACCAGTGCGGTTTCCGTCAGTATGTTTCCGTCATGCGCGTGAAGGCTCTGGCGGAGGAAGCAGTTTCCCGGGGCAAAGTGTTGTTGGCGGTGTCCTTGGACATCGCCAACGCGTTCAACACTCTGCCCTGGAGCTGCATCAGGGAGGCGCTCTTATATCACGAAGTACCTCTCTACCTCCGCCGCATAGTCGGGGCATATTTGTCGGAGAGAGCCGTCGTCTACCCCAGTAGGACCGGTCTCGGTAGGCGTGAAATGTCGTGCGGTGTTCCGCAGAGGTCGGTGTTAGGGCCACTCTTGTGGAACATCGGCTACGACTGGGTGCTACGCGGACGACACGCTCGTGACGGCGCGCGTCAAGACGGACCACGAGGCAACCCTGAGGGCCACGGCCGGGGTTGCCCAAGTCGTTGAGCGAATCCGGCGGCTGGGTCTCGAGGTGGCTCTGCACAAGTCCGAGGCCCTGTTCTTCCACGGGCTTCGGAGGAAGCCACCTGAGGGATCTAGCCTCACGGTAGGAGGCACTCGCATCGGCATCGAGCCCTCGATCAGGTATCTGGGGCTCGTACTCGATGGCCGATGGGACTTCGGATATCATTTCCGAGGTCTGGTCCCCAAGTTGGTTGGGGCAGCGCGTGCGTTGGCGCGGCTGCTACCCAAAATGAAGGGACCCGATGACTCCTGCAGGAGACTCTACTAGGGGGTTATGCGGTTTGGCGGGGGCCCTGAAGGCCAGCAACGTCGCGATACTGCGACGACCGCAGCGAGTGCTGGCCATCAGGATCATAAGGGGGTACCGCACGATCTCCTTTTAGGCGGCGAGTCTCCTGGCTGGAACTCCACCGTGGGACCTGGAGGCGAGAGCCCTTGCGGCTCTGTATCAGTGGTGCAAGGAGGCGCGGGAGTTGGGTCGATGCCCCGAGATTCGAGAAATCGATGACCGGAAATCCCAACTCCGCCAGGTCATCATAGGGGAGTGGAGGGAACGACTCGGGCAACCGAGCGCCGGGTACGCCGTCATCGCGGCGGTAAGACCCGTTATGGAGGATTGGCTCGAGAGGCGTTACGGGACCCTCTCATGCCGATTGACGCAGGTGATCACTGGGAAGGGATGTTTCGGGGATCACCTGTGTCTGATCCGCAAGGAGCCAACGCCTGAGTGCCACCACTGCGATGGCCAGACCGTGGACACGGCTCTCCACACGCTGGCAGAGTGCCCGGCTGGGTTGAGCAGAGGCGAGACCTCGTGGCGGCCATCGGAGTGTGAGTTCTCTCGCTCGATAGCCTGATTGCGGCTATCGTGCGGAGAGAGAGTGCGTGGAACTCTCTCGTCTCCTTCTGCGTGGAGGGCTCTCCTCAGGCGCCGGAGATCGCAGAACGACCTCCGTCCCCCATAAGCGCAGGCCTGGGCGACAGGTGAGGCCATCTGTCACCCTAGCAGAAGCAGCGTTGCGCGTTGCGCTTCCAGGGAGCAGAGGGAACATGGGGTTCCCACACGGGGGGGATCGTCGACTCGTCTGTAGATGGCCCGAGGTATGTCGGGGCACCAGGGACTTCCTTTCTAGGGTATACCTGATTCCCCGGCTATTAATACCCGAGACGGCGTGCGGTTTTAGTCGGTTCTAGTCCGACATGCCACCGATAGGTGGTATCCGAGGGGATTTCCGCACATACAAAAAAAAAATATGGAAGCGGGGGCAAACGAGCATACGGGTCACATGATGGAAAGTGATTACCGCCGCCCATGAACGCCTGCAACTCAGGAGTCGCCGGCCTCTCAAGAGGAGTACGCTCTTTTCTTGAAGGTCGTATCGGTCAGGGAATACCGCAGACGATAATTTGTTCTACGGATTGGTTGTGCGAGGCAAAAAGTGTCTTGAAAAGAGCAAAGTGGTGGAGTGCTAATTGTCCAAGTAATTGGATGTAAATTTTGCCGTGTGGAACTTGCGTGTTCGCACTTGGAATTCCGAGGTGTGAGTTTATTTCACAAATAATTGTTCTGAGTTTATTCGTTCTTGATGTTCTTTGTATCCATTTCATGTATGTTTGTTTGTCCCCCGCGACACAGGATATATTTCTAATGCCTATGCCTCTAATGTCTTTAAAAAAATATATGTAAATTACCTAAAACACAGAACCAATGATCGAATTAAACCCTCGACTTTGGAATCAGCAGGACAGTAACTATATACGAGTATAAACTACTATGAAGATCCCGAATATCCGTTTTGTGACTAATTACCGATCCG